TGTATCACCAGAGAGATAGAGAGAGAGACTTTAAAACGCGAGATTTGTTTTGTACTGATTTTGAAAATAAGTAACAGTTATTGGTAACAGTTACGTTCTCTAACTGGAGAATATATTTCTATATCAAGACTAATCAGTATCATATTGCTATCGTAGTCTGAATTTGCTTTTACGTTCGTGCAATCAACGAAGGAAAGATTTATTGACATTATAAAAATATTAAACGTTACCTCTATTGCTTAAACAACATGGTTATCGATCAAGTGCTATACATCTCTGTTTATCTAAAGTACAAGAAACAGTGAAGTTCGTCCTTGTACCAAAATCCTGTATAGAATTATTTACATTCCTTCTAGAAATACTTGTAATCTCAGCCCGTCTAATAAAGACATACATAGAGAAAGCATTTGACTCAGTTGAGTGGAAATTTATATATAGAGCATTGCAGTCTCTTAATTTTGGTGAGTATTTTATTCAATGGATCAAAACATTTTATCATAATACTAAAAGTAGGATGATTAATAATGGGCATTTTTCAGATTTTTTTAATATACAGAGGGGTTGTCGTCAAGCTGACCCTGTTTCACCATACTTGTTTATAATTGGAGTCGAAATATTAGGTTTAGCACTCAAGAAAAACAATGGAATCAAAGGTATAAAGATAGAAGACAAAGAATATTTACTAGGGCAATATGCGGATGATGCTTTTCTGTTTCTGGATGGTTCTGAAAACTCACTTTCAAATACAATTAAAACTTTTCAATATTTCACCTTGGTGTCTGGTCCTAGACTTAATATACACAAATGTAAGGTAATGTGGATTAAATATTCAGATAGGATCTTATGCCCCGAGCTTAACCTTCAATGGTCAACTGATAAATTTAAACTTTTGGGAATAAACTTTTCATTAGAATTGTCTGAAATTATTGAAATCAATTTTAAGGATAAGCTAACTAACATTAAAAAACTATTAGGTATGTGGTCGAGACGTAAACTTTCACTTATTGGAAAAATCACAATAGTCAAAACACTTGCATTACCCATATTAACACATTTATTTTACTCTTTACCAAACCCAGGAAAAAATGGCTTCAAGAATTTAATTCTGTTTTTTATAAATGTATATGGGGGTACAAACCTGATATGATTAAAAGAAACACTTTGATACTTGATTATGATGAAGGTGGCTTGAAAATGATACACATAGAAAGCTTTATTAAATACTTAAAGGTAAAATGGTTGAAAAGATTATACACAGGTGATGGCCAATGGCAAACTTTGACTAAAACCTTACTTAATCAATTTGGTAACGAGAGAATTTGGAATTTTAACAATATTTAATTTTAAAAATATCAAATCCTTTTTGGAAAGATACACTTTTAGCATGGATAGATTTTAAAAAATCCCAAGATAAACCTATAGACTTATTACATGAAGATATATTAAACTATATTCCATTTCAAGATTTCAAACAATTTATAGCATTCCAACAATCTGGGGTTGAAAAGATTAAAGACCTGTTAGATAATAGATTTTATTTTCTAAATTTTGAAAATATTAAAGTTAAATGTCCGACTATGAACTTTATTCAATACTTTGCTCTGACAAGTAAAATTTCCAAAAATAAATTACATGAGTTACGACAAAATAGAGATACAATTACTCCTAATGATGAAGCAAATTTATCTGATTTTCAGAAAATAATGGTTCAAAATGACTTGAAATTTGTATATAAATCCTTACTGAACAAACATAAGATAGATCCTGTAGGAAAACAAGCCAAATGGAATAGAGATTTAAATGTGAACATAGAAACTAAGATAGGTTGGAGTAAAATATATACATTACCAAAATACTGTACAACAGAAACAAAAATGCAAAATTTTCAATTTAAACTACTACACAGAATTTTGACTACTAAGAAGTTTTTATATAAAATCAAAATTACTGGTGATGATAAATGTACATTTTGTAAAAATGAAACTGAAACACTAATACATTTGTTTTTCAATTGTGTAATTGTTAAAAGAATTTGGAATGAATTTAAGGTATGGATAAATTCAGTAAGTGATGATTTTGCAATTGATTTTTTCGATGCTTATGACATACTCTTCATTTGTGAAAAGGGCCCAAAAGTTATAAATCATCTGATCCTAACCATGAAATATTACATTTATATCTGCCGATACAAAGAAATTCAACCAACATTTAAAGAATGTAAAACTCTCATTTATCAACAAAATGAACCTGAAAAATTTATTTCAAAAATTAATAATTCATTTGAAAAATATCAAGCAAAATGGTCTCCCCTGAACATTTAAAGGGACAAAACTACATCCTACACAGCATAGTGACAGCCTTACTTTCTCAATCAGGTAGTGATTTACATATCTATATATATATATGTGTGTGTTATCGTATTAATGTCAAGCTTATTGGTATATCAATGTTAAAAATTGTTTTGTATTGTTACTGTATATGTAAAGTATGTCCATGTTTTGCATGTATTGTATATGCCATTGTCTTTTGTTAATAAAAGTTTTGAAAAAAAAGTATAGACATATTGATTCCTTTATTTATTGATAATTATTTTCAGACATAATTTTACATTCTAATGATTTTAACGAATCCAAACAAAATAATTCTACATGGAAGATTAAAATGACACATTATGACCCTTAGCCTATTACCACTGCATATTATGGATATTATATAATGTTATATTCTTTGGCTTTAGACTCGAATGTTTATGACAATAGTAACTATCTTGAAGTTCCCAAACAATAGAATGACTCAATGGATGTACGTCATCTATATATTCATTAAGGGTTCATTAAATCATAAGTTTAAATCAAACCACCCGAGGTGTCGAATTATTAACTTACATGTACATCGACCAGTGTCAGGGTGACACGAGTTGTTAACACAGGTTGTACTACAGGTCGAATCACAGTTGTTGTTACCAAATTTTCCCAGTGGACAACCTGAAAGTCATGTATGTAATAAATACGTAGGGACACATGAAGCAATGTCGTAATAATATAATAATAATACTTATTGTTGTTTGTGTCTAAAATGGATTAAGATTTTTCTGTCTGATTTATTATTATATAAATATTCCAAATAAAACGTAACTGTATGTGAATTAAAATAATTTCTAACATTGTAAATATGAAGAGCGATAGAGACATATCTATACCTGATATTTCCACCACATATAATCTCAGTTCTTTACATGATAAAGCATACATACAATGATTAATGGTTTATATATATATAACAAATAACTCTGATTGAAGTAAAAACAGGAATATATGCGTAATGATGTGTGCTTTTTTATTGTGTATCAATTATTGGTATTTCAATACAGTTATGCAGTGGTATATAATGAAAGGATAAAATCTTCGTATGCATGAACTAGTAAGCAAAGATCACGGAAAATTAATAATTATTTTCATATCTATATATTAAAGTACAAACGTCATAGTTAATTTTCTCCGATTCTATGATTTATCTGAAAGTACATCTTTGACCCAGTGGCGATCGCCTCGGTATGGGTCGCCCGCATCTGTGACGTCATCAGTTCAAAGCTGCCAAAACAGCCCAATAGAAATATGCAAGAAAACCTCCAATGATATTCGAACTTTTCAGCTACTTATGTGCTATATGCCGTTGAGGTTTACTTCTGTATGTTAAACCAAAGTGCTACATAGATAAAGAAAGGACTTTTTACAATTTAAATTATGACATTACTTCCTTTCCTTTTTACATGGCAAATAATGCAGTGTATATAGACCCGCGTTTAAATAATGCTTAGTGTGTTTGTCTTTATCCTTGTGAAAACGTTTTCGCTACTTTTTAGCGCCATCTTTTTACCGATTAAACGAATATTTTTATCTCAGACTTTACTACTTTGAATTCTGCGTTCAATTTGGATACAATTTTGTGACGTTGCAATCAATAGGGTCCAATTTAACGAGTTACGTTTATGTTGATTAGTAGTAGAAGGACAGGTAAAAATCGTACACTTTATTCGTAAATATCGCGGTATTTAGCCGGCCTATCTTTTCAACCTTTCTTAATTTTGGATCATCAGAAATAATACTTTATCAATTTCTATTTTTGCTTAGGATACTCTTTAAGTTAGTCTTCTTTATATAATATATTGTTAACTAAGAGTGACGGAAACTACGATTACCATTTTTTCTTTGTCCTTTTTAGACCATTGATGCATATTTTTATGTATGGCATATGAATTATACACTACGTTAAGCATGTTTCTATGTACTGAAGTAAATATTGTGTTTTCTCGGAGGAAAAGCGTGCTTCTATCTAGTTTGTTTATTCATTTATTTCAAGTCATTGAATCAATATGTTTGTAAATTGTATTTGACATTTGCATTGTTAATTATAGGATACTTAAGTGTTCATGTGAATTCTCGGTGAAAAAAAAAGTGTTTTCTCGGTGAAATTATTTCAAGTTGATCACTACGACAGAACTTCACAGTCTAGAGAGAACTAAACGTTTCGGCAACCCGGCTGACTGAAGCTGTTCATTATTTGTGTGTGTGTTTTATGACATTATTCCCGTCCATACTATATATGTATATATCAGTAAACGATATTTTCTTACTGAATGAGCTCACCATAAATTTCGACTTCACAGAGTTCGAGGATAGCGTAGTCAGAATACCAACTGTAAGGTTTGTTTGGTCGTCGATCAACATAGATAGTCAGGTAGATTGTGTTGCCTGTACACGATTGAATTTCTGGAGCAAGGTTCATCAATTGCATTTCAGATGTTGTATCTGTATGACAGTTGTCACTGTTTCTCCAATCTGTTGTATTTGACAGGTATATCTGAAAGCCACCAAATCGCTTTGACTGTTCGTAGGAATCATCTATGAAAAATAAAGTAAAATGAAGTCAGATAAAATAATGTTTTGATAATATTTTTTGACGTAATCCTTGAGTTGAATATTACTTTGATTAAAACCCAACAATTATAATCATGCATTATATTTCGATAGTTTAGAGAACACACGCGCACACACAAATAAGAAGAAAATACCAATAAGTAAATAGAATCATAATCCAAACGTATATTCAACTACAAAATTGTTTTTTTGCCATTTATGAAGAAATAATAAACTTAGTTTATCGCAAAGTACATTTTTGGATGTTGATATTTTACTGATGCCGAAAGTTCACTTTTTACACAATGTTTTCTTGTTATTATAGCAACTGATCGACGTGTGTAACTGATCAAATGTCATCACCAAGTAGATCTTTGGCATTGAAAAAACCCTTCAGATAATTTAAAATACTTGACCCATGTGACCTTGATCATAAGATAAGGTAATTAATATCATCAACCTTAACAGCCAAAAAATGAGCATCTACCATTGGAAACATCAAGTGTCTAGAATGTGTAGAACTCGAGAAATATGTCAAGTATAACGTAATTGATCCTTATGATGTTATGATGTGTGTCAAGGTAATTCATTTATGTCGTGGTTTTTTTTTTTTTTTTTTTTTAATGTTTGTTTGTTATTTCTTTTTTTTTTCTCTTTTTTTGGCCGGGTTTTCGTCTTTTCGTTATTTCGTTTTTCGTTTTGGCGAGTTTTCGTCTTTCCGTTTTGTTGCTTTCCGGTTTGGTAACAAGAGTAGACACGCCTATTTTGAATCGACAAGACCTCTATCTTGTATATTTCATTGAACCGTGTACCTGTACGGTTTTTATATTACTCTCGTCGATTCGTGAGTGGACCCGATTGTTTTAAAAAAAGAAATACGACACGCAGATAAAAATGAGACTGATATGAAAGTTCGACAGAAAGATGTGTCGATTACTCAGGTTTACTTGTACATAATTATTTAATGCCTGACGTTGGTCACAAATTGTTTGATTGAAACATACTTCATTGTATTGTAATTACCATCGCCTTCCCGTTTTCTACATGATGTTACGTTCTTCATTCAAAATATGAAAAGTTCTTCTGAGAACATTTCATTCATTTGTTTAACTAAAAATAAACATTCTTACGTACAGAGAAGAATATAGCAATTATGTTATTACCTTACATATAATTATATGGAATAGACTCATTGATAAATTTATCGTTTATAAGAGGAAACAGGTTCGATATTCCGAAGGTCCGTTACTCCGAAAACACCGCAAAACTGGATGAGAATTATTGTATATATTGTATTCTTATATATTTTATGCTAGTGTTACTTCATCAACGACGTAATTTTAAAATCTGAAATATCTGCATTTATCAATTTACAAATGAAAAAAAAAATAACAAGCTTACAGTTCATCTCAGGAGGGGGCTGAAGTTATTCAGCTTTTCTGAGTGAAGGGGGATAACACTTACAAGTTTTCTGGTAAAGTTTATGCTTTCAAGCGCCCCAACAACCCAATTATTGTGGCCATATTCCGGGACTAGCCAGCCGGGAAAAAAACTTCCCTCCCACCCACCCTGTTGCCAGTAAGCTACATTAATCGAGTTTATCATTAAGGTCTGATTTGGTACCAATTTCTGCCTCGAGTTCTCCTACATTTCCAGACGTTTCCAAAGATTGTGATATTGCTGTGAACAGATCAGGCTGGACTCTATGCATCCGAATACCCCTCACCGCAGTATAGGACAGGTGTGGAAATTCAGTGTCATACAGTGTTTGTGTAGTGTTCCTATGAGCAGAACGTTGAACTAGAACTTGCCCGACTGGATACAACCCGGGGTCCGAAGACTTTGTCAGGTATTTGTTTGAAGTTGTCTCAGAAAAGTGAACTAGTACTGTTGTCAGTTAATTAAAAAAAAACTGAATATGTGAGCGAGCTTGACACGTCGATCACATGACATAACGTTTACATATTGAAATGAGGTGTTGTAATTCAGTTGAGAGTAGTTGCCATCAAAAACGATTTACATGTATTCGACGGGACAGTTTACATGTGTTTCAATGCACGTCCCAATTTATTCACATTTCTTATGATCACGAGAACGGGATGACTACGTTTCGGTGTCGAGTGTAAGTTTAGTATCCTAACAAAGAAATGTCCCTTTTAACTTATTTCGTTTGTCTATTTATTTTTGCATTATCTATCGCTATATATCGGCCAACTTTAACAGCTTTATTGCTACAGTTATGATACATTCTAACATAAATGGAAATTAGTAACACTTAGCGGAATCCGAATTCTACTTTCATGCAACTGGATTCTTTTAATTAGAAGTAGCAGTTTAAAGAGCACAGTATATCGATTCACGCAGCGTGCATTTTAGGTAAGAATGAGTGTTATCTTCAATTTATCAATATACATTCTGTGCAACACAATACTTTACGATTGATCAAACTGTTATGATAATACCCGAACCCTTAATAGCAGAAAGTAACAAAACGAAAAGACGAAAACAAACAAAAGCGCCGAAGCAAAACGACGAAGACACCAAACCAAGGTAAAAACCATATACCATTTTTATTTCACTCTTTGGTGTCTGTTTTATCTCGGTTTGGCGCCTTCACGTCGTTTCGTTTTTTTCCCGGCATCCTTTCGTGGGCAACAAAGCAAGATCATGAAATACGTATAAAGCGACAATCTATATCAAAATATTTTTCAAGAAGAATATGCTTTAAGTTATTTGACGCATCCTCAATAATAGTTGCCGTTGAATCCACCAAACTCACTTGCTTTATCGAAGTTCCCAACTACTAAAAATCACATGACAAATTCGTAGGCCAAATGCTTGATTATAAAAAAATAGAAACTCATATGAAATACGACATATAACATGCAGAAGTATATAAGCATCAAATCAATACATATACATATATATACATACAAAAATTCTAAAAGATATTACTTTAATTTCTTTAATAACGCATATAACAGGTAGTACACTATTCATTTCTTGTGACGTTACTTTATTATCATCACCGTTTTTACTACTCTGGTCCATTTAGACTATGCTTTCTTCTATTTATATTGTATACTTTGTGAATTAAAAAAAGCTATCGCTAGCAAACTTATAATAACGAGATAACCTAAGTCGTAATAACGAGATAACGTAACCCGTAATAACGAGATAGCCTTTACTTTTCATGTAGTACTAATCGGGTTTCGTAGAAAACAACACAAAGGGATTATGCAATTGGTGGAGCTAACGTTTTATTTGACGAATAGTTAACCTATCTAACGTTGACAGAGATGCATTTTTTTCAAAATTAAACAAGAATATCTATAACCATGTCGAGACATCGAGGGACGGCAAAAACTAACGCAAAAAAAAAAAAAAAAAAAAAAAAAAAAAAACGTTACTCGTTTTAATTGCAATATTGAAATGATTAAAATTTGGTCTATGAATATGATCTTTTAATTACGTTAAAGGTAAATCCTATGAACACGGCGTGCAATATTACTAGCATCTAAGTGACGTATCATTTTTGATGCCCAATTCTCATACTCATATACTCAATATAATATCAAGATTGTATGTGCATAATATGTGTTGCGGAAAAAATGCACAGTTATCTGAGAATACTTGAAATAAACAGTACACATTAAGTATCATTATTTTGTTTACCGGATACACGTTCTATTTTCATAATCATACAATGGTATAAATGTGTCCTGGTATCAACGGAAAGTATAAATAATGAGAAAAGGCTTTATACCTTACTTATTATGCCTCATAGAAACACAACCTTACACAAAAAAATGATATGTTACCATCTTGCTACAGGATGTGTATTACGTTTAAATGACATGCACTAGAAAAGGAGATTTTCATATGATTTGTTTCTTACTTACTTCTGTAGTATATCTTCACATGTTCAATAACGACTGGACCACCAAAGTCAATTTGCCACCAAGCTTCCGATACTGCTGGTTCTGTTTGTGTATGTATACAACTACCACTACTAAATTTTTGATCAGTCCTGCCATCTACTGCCTTTTCACTTGTGGACGTCGCGGAATAATTGGAGCTTTGGCTTGTCTTGATATCTGATTTACGGCATAAATTCACTAAAACGAAAAATGAAAAAAATATATATATTACATGTAGCACAATTAAAGATGATGCAAGGTTTACCTAGCCAGAGCGAGGGAATGATAAAAATAGTATAGTCAGCCCCTCTCCATATGATACAATGTTAACTTATCGTTATACGAACATGATAATGCGTTTGTTGTCATTCACAGTTTCGTTTATGATTGATGCGCTAATAACCTGTGTCAACCGATTTGTTTTCGTCTTGTTTGAGCGTGGTCTTAAACACCAATTTGTGATTTTTTTTCCACAAACATTATCTAGTTTATTGTAATAAGGTGTTTATTACCGAGGTCAGTACCTAATCCTTTTTAATATAGAACCCTTCGTTGTCAACGCATCCAACTATTATCCAGTCCGAGTTCTCTTGACTCTAAAAATATGTTAGACATTTGGACAGTCAGATATTTAACTTGGAGTCAGCTCACCCATTTATGAAAACATGGGATTCTCTAACATTGCTTAGTACCGTTAACTTTGAGCGTTGCCGACGTCGTTTTTTATTGGAAATAAGTATGGTGACCAAGGTAACAGGAATCAAAATTATTGGATCCGAGTATCACTCGGGTATCTACCATCCACCGGATGATCTGACAGTAACAACAACATACCATATACAGGACAGATGGGTGTAAACAACACTAGAAGTAATCTTGCCATACGCGATCATAAAATTCAAAAACAAGAAGTTGAGACGCCGAAGAGGGATCGTACAGCCCAAGGAAGGATAGAAAATGCAGAATGAGGAGATTCATACATATTGGTCAACGATCCAGTTCAGTGCTCATGAAAGTGGTTCAATTAACAATTTTCTGTTAAAAGTGTTGACGGATTAGGGAAATCAGTTAGCAGCAACATGAGAATATATGCTGTGAGTTCAATCAGAGTTTACTTTAGTCGCATTGTATGGAAAATAATCCAGACTGCAACTGCCAGTTTTATCTATAGTTAAGGAATTCAAGGTTGAAATGATTGCACTGTCTTTCAAGTTTAGAAGAGGAAACATCCTTTTAGATCATGTAACACAATAGGCGTAAACACACGTACTTGTTGGTGATAGCCATGTTTATTACATGTTTAATAATGATAATGTACAAAAGCAATATCTCATCAACATACATAGTTCATATACTGCTATTAGTACTTCACATTGTGTCTCGTATCAGAACTGTCCATAGGGTTCTGAGCTTTCTCCCCGTTTGTCCATAGGGCTAGCTATAGGGCTTTATCCATAGGGCTCTGACTGCTCTCCTGCTCTCTCTATAGGGTTCTCCCAAGGCCGTCCCTCTAAACTAAAGGTCACCCCCTTTTATCTCACCCTGGACCAAGCTTGTCCGGCCATACCCTAATATGGACTTCACTTGTTGCAAGATGATATGATTGTTGAAGTATAGCTACCTGTACTCAATGTGCAAGGTTGCGATTCCCTCTGCTAATTTGTTACTTGAAATAAACCCTAATAATTACTCTACTACCAGATGGCCACTGTCCGAAGTTTGATTATCAAGGAAGTCGAGATTGATTTACTGACCAAAGCTGTACACCCACTGATAAGATTCTCGGAACCAAGACTACACCAACCTAATTGTATATATGCAGGTAATCATCTACACCCCTATGAACTACCTATATGCGTTATATTGATATACTATTGAACATTAAACGGACTATTGTTTAAGCTAACTTATTTCAACAATCCCATATGAAAATTGAGCTGTGTTACACTAAACCCTATTTTGTTACAATCACCAGCATTGAGTTATTTGCCTCCATTCTGGCCATATCTATTTGGCTGGACACCGTTTACATTATGCTCTTTGGCATTATCTGATTCATTCATTAGGGATCTGATGTTCCATTTCATGGCTGGTCTCAATATGTCGTATCATTTCCATGGTAGCTACTACAGTCGTTGAACTTGTGATGTCACAGCCGATAAGATCCCGATACCTTTGTACCTTTTGATCATATGGAATAATACTATATATCTATTTCTGTTTTCGTTCAGATTAATATCTGTCTCTGAAGTAACATACTAAATCCAAACAAAGGAATTGTAGGGACAAATCGAAACTATGTTTATGTATCTACGTGCATTGTACAGTTGTTTCGGAGTGTAATGTGATGCTAAATTAAAGTCAATGAAGTTGATCATATTCTTTGATCTATGGTATTAAAAGAAAGTAATGCACAATGTTTCACTTTTCAAATAAATTAAGATTGTGCATACATATTCACTTTATCAGTTTATTTCCGGGAAACCTGTCCTTTTTCTCCTTATTTTTCATTTTGTAAACTTTTTTATGGTATTAATTCTTATTCTGTTGAAATCCAACATTCCCTTTGCTCTTATTTTTTTTACATACATAATTTATTTTAAAAGAATTTTCAAAATGGTCAATTAATCCCATTATAGTATTGATTGGAATCACTTTTCTATCTGTAAAAGTTAGTAATCAGAATAAGAAACGGATGCCTCGAATTTCTTCTGTATGTTTAGATTTTATTATCTATTATTATTATATACGCGACATATTCATTTTCTAAACTTTATTAGCGATGATCAAAATCATTTTTGCAATTTGAAAATACCTAAGATTATCATTAATTTGGTTTAGATAAATTGAAAATAACTTCATTGTAGCAGTTTTAACTTTTCTTTTCTTCAAAAGAGTTTACCTGGTGTTATGATTTTGTTTATGTTTACTGACGCCGAAGGAAAATGTAAGAAATAAGTGAGAATGTAACAAAATATCTTTCTCTTTGCAGAATTACTTGAGGAGATTTACGTATATCTGTGTATACGTTACACAAGCAAACACTTAATAACCCGGGACCGAAAATGTACACTCAAGAAAATATTCATAAAGAACGTGCGATGTATAATACGATCAGGATTGTATAGCGCAGGTATTTTGGTTTTCAATTGGATAGAAGCAAGCGCTATGTCAACTAATAATACCCGTATGACCTTCGTGTCGTAATTTCTGTATATACATTAATAGGTAACTTGTTATCTTAATTACGTATACAAACAGAATCGCTATACCCATTCATGACATTAAATCCATGTTGTTTACATGTATAATATATATATACACTGAACGTTGTAGTTTAGCTACAAAATACGTATCAATAAGATTTTATTAATGCAGAATATTTAAGATGTTTATGATCAAAATTCTAAACAAGATGCTGACAAAAATGTTAAATTATGAAAAGAATATTCCAATCATTGAACAGAAACTAGTTTATGTAAACTCACAGTTTAACAAAATGAAGAATATGGATGGTATATAGATACATATGTTAGTTAAAACTAGATATAAATTTATATCTGAAACGTAACCTGATGTTTTAGAAATCTCCACTGAACAGAGAAAACATGTTATCATGAGACCAAGGGTATATACACCCAATATACACAACAGTACACGAAGCCAGGTTGTATGGATATAGTAACATGGCTACATACCAGGAAGTAAATATTTTATATACAAGTATTTGCATATAGAAATACTAAACGTACCTGTAAAATATCTTTCGATCGATTTACTTAGAATGACACGGCCACATTAACAAACCACTGAAAGGAGTGTCAACAAACAGCTCCAAGATCATATATACTGGCAATACTTCTTATATCACATTTAAACGTGTTGAAGTCGCCAATGGTACAAATATAACTCTTCTGAAATATTAAAAACCAGTTGAAATAACTGAAATAGGTGTCCTAAAGTATAATATATAGCACATTGTCGCGTCACTCAATGAGAATGACCAAACATCAATAAAGTAATTCAATATATACTGAAAAATGAGATATTGACACATAATTTCATCTTGTACAGCTTTTCTATGTTGTAATGTTGTGAATTTGAATGTTCCATTCGAGCATTATTCGTTTAACGTTCCCTTGCATTTAAATTTCACCAGTGTTCACATGCGAATCTACGTCTCGTACATCTCATTTTAAAATCGAGCAAGGAATAGTCAAGTTATAACCATTAAAACCTTTCGTGGGTATAAATACAGCATCAAAGAAATTACAATACCTGACGTGTTGACTATTTCCAAGGTTATTACCAGATAGAGAATCACCAGCCAAATGTTTGAAACTTCCATCCTCCATTCAAGCTGTTGTATAAATAAAAAGGAGTGCCTCGGTTTACACATAATACATCTGAATCAATCAGGAAGTTTATTATTATTGTGATGTGCTTCATCAAGTAACTAGAACACTTTTTTAAAAAATTGAAATAGACATATTTCATATCAGAAAATATAGGGAAATTACACTATAGGAACGTCAAGCAAAGACATTTCACTGAACTAATAATCGCATTTTTTAAATCTGCATAAAGACTTTTTTACAAGCAGGTGCTGTGTCTTTTTTATGAAAAAAAGTTATATTGAAATTCAAATCAGGGAAATGCGATACAACTAGATGATACGAGGAAGTTTTACAGTCGTAATAAAAGGGAAATAAAATAATAATCCTGATCATATAACTATATATCGGTTTCTGATCTGAAAAAAGACTTAACTTTGATTGACAAGTGACGACGAAGAAAAAATTGATAATTACCTTACCGTAACATTTGGTCGTATTTTCTGTTCACGGGTCTCTTCGTCGCTCATACTTATGATCATATTTTGCCCCCATTTCATCGACTTTGAGTTTCAATCTAGGCTTCAAAATATCTTAGTTTTTACCTGAGAGTTGAGATCCCACGGTCTTATTGACAAGGAGGATGACACAATTATTCTTTTCAAGCTCACCTTCATAGGCATATGCTCTTCTTGTCCAAATGTGTGGATCATTGACGTGATGCCACACTGTCAAAACTCGTTATCTCGAAATTTAAAGGACCGTGAAAATATTTCGACTTATCTGAACTTCGACTCAAACGAAGTGTAAGGTTGGCGATATCAATTTCCCTTAACGTTGATTACGGTTGAACAAACAATTTGT